CATACCTTATTTGGTAAAGTTTTATGTGGCTCAAAATCACTCTTACTTTTTTTTTACTTTATCAATTAATATCCACACAAACCCACTTTTCTTAAAACCTGTGCGACCCTCCTCCGGGACATTTAAAAGGGGACAGAGGTAGTACACTCAAACATACATATAATGCATGCATACACACACATACACACATATATAATGTAGGAAAATAAACATGTTTAATTAATATATATGTAGTATATAACAAACACCTGTATATATACATATAAATGTACATTATTGTATGTGTATTAGTCAAGATTAATGGATTGTTATATACTACCCCCCCCCCCCCCCCCCCGGTCCGGAATTGTAAGGCACTTAACGGTTTATGATGTTTGACCGGCGATAAAGCTAACATATCCTTTACCGCACTCAAATTATTTTTAGAAAAAAGAATCATGTATTCAGAAACTACACTGAAACATTTACAAAGTCACAAAAACCAGAATCAAATTTGATAAAAATTTGATATATAAAATAAGAGATTAAAAGTGATTTGTGTTGACCAAGTGAATAGGGAAGATATCTTACAAAATGAGACAGGGGGAGTATATTAGAATAATAATAACTAATGACTAAAAATATTTATCATACATGTTATATGAGTTTCAAAAGTGAGTAAACAGAATACATAAACTACTATTCTCCGTTTCTTTTTAGTTACAACATGAAAATTTTACCCTATTTACATACTATCTCCGTCCCAGAAAACTTTGTCATTTTAAAAACTTTGACCGACTATAACTTTTTTATTGAAAATTGTTTATGATATAAAAATTATATGAAAATGTTCTTTGTTAAATGTACTTTAATTAAAGTACAAAACTTATAACTCTATAATATTATACTTGTTAAAATAAGGGTTCAATTTTTTTGAAATGACAAAGTTTTTTGGGACGGAGGTAGTATTATATTTTGACTACATTTTATTTATTAATGTATACGAATTGCGATAGTATTGTTTTTGAAAAAAAAAAGATTGAATTCGTCTAATTATAACTTTGTGTAATCTCATTTTTAATTTTTTTACTAATAGAGAAACGAATATAGTAACGAATGTAAATGTGTAAAGGAGAATATCGCGACTTAATACTTATACAAAACACTTCTTTAAAAGGGACAACTCTTTTACTTTCAGCCACGAGAAAAAGAACTCCAAATAAGACGGAGGTCTAATATTGTAGATCAAATTCATAACCAAGGTGGAGGAGAAACTTCTAGTTTGGTGGTCAACATTTAATTACACCAAACTTTATTGTTCCAATTACCTTTTTGGTCCGCCCTATTAAGACGGTCTCATATCAATTTTGATAAAGTTTATATGGTTCTAAATCATACTTTATTAATTCAGCATGTTAGTGAGACAGAGGGAGAACAGTAGAAAGTAAAACTAAATTTCACCATTCACACTCAATAATATTTATTTATTTATTTAAAGAATGTTATCAGATACTTAAAGATAGATGGTCTATTAATTCAGGATCTGAAAGATGAAATGTATCGATATAAGTCCCAAATAAATGAAGCTATCAATATAGAACCTCTCTACTTGGGAATAATTTTATTTTTTATCTTAATAATTTAAAATATTATTTAATTTTGTTAAACTAGTAAAGTTTTGTGAAGCAAAATTCATCAAAATTCAACAATTGCATTAATAAAAAATCAAATACATCAAAACCTATATAATTTTAGGTCGTGATTGATATTTTTCAAGCATTTGGACCATATACCGACACATTTCATCTTTCAAATTCCGGATTGATAATTGAATTATCTTTCAGGTCTTGACTTGATAAATTTTCTATATTTAAATATGACCTCGTTGTCGCTAAGTTCTTGATGAAGGAGAGAAGAGGGATCAATGGTTGCCAAAAGGGTTAGGTCATATTGAGGTAAAGTTTTAAAATGGTCATATTTTTGTCTATTTAAACATTATTGCCTTATAGGTAATACTTTTGTCATTCTTTCTATATGGGGTATATTTTACTATTGGTCGACTTTGATTTGGTCAGATCAAGTTTAAATTGGAACAAGTTTAAGGGAGCGTTCTCTGTTATTGTTTTTTTTATCGTAGTGTTCTCTGTTGTTTAAAAAGTGTTTTCACGCAATTATTTCTATTTAAATTAAGCATTTCAGAGCTGAAAAAAGAATAAAATGGCGTTTTACATTACTTTTCATTTTTCATTACATAAAAGTATTTTATACTAATTACTAAACATTCTGAATTCGTTTACAATCAATTCTTCCCTCGATTATACGAACATTTACTAGTAACCACATCTATATTACGGAGTATTAGAAACGAGAAGAAAAAGTTCAGAACAAGAGTCACAATGTGATAATTTCAAAATGGAAGTATTATGTCTTTATTTGAATTACTACAAATTTGAATATTAGTGTCACTTATGATAGTATATTGTCATGTTTATAGTCCAATATATGAAAACATGACGGTAGAATTCAAGATTTTAAGAAAAACACACTCTCACAAAATATAGCACACGTATTTTAAAAATTCTCTTTTATTTATTTATTTGGAGAAACATAAGTAAACACGAACCATAAAGTGAAAACATGTGTGTCTAGAGTTTTAACTCAAATCTCACCGGAGCTTGAACAATTTTTTGCTCTAATGAAGCAAATCAAGCAATCAGCGATGTTTCCAATTTAACAAGTTCAATTCTTCAATGTCTCGATGCAAAGTAGGTAATGCACCAAGCATTAGCCTATGTGATTTGAAAAATGCGTCAAACCCCCTTGTGTTAGGGCTGGCAATATCACCGGCACCCGCGGATACCCTGTTAATCCGAACCAAAAATATGGACGAAAACCCGAAGAAGTATGGATGAAAAATGGATGACGGGTGGACTGAAAGACGAGATGGATCGGGTGTGGATGAAGACTCATCCAACCCATTACCCGACCCGTCACCCGTTCCATCCACCCACCCGTTGACCCGCATATAAATATATAATACGTAGTATATAATATATATTAGGAAAAATTGATAGTAATAATCCCAACTATTGGCGGTCCGCTCATAATAATCCTAACTATCGATTATTTCAGAATAATCCCAACTATAGGAACCTTCCGTCAATAATGGTCCTTATAAATAAATTCTTGTAGTTTTTAAAGTGGATGAGAAAAGATATAGCATGTAATCCCTATAAATAATCCCAACTTTTAATTTTTATGCTTAATTTCTATTTAAAAATCACTTGTTATAGGAGGTAATATATGGTCATGGACCATTATTGGCGGACGGTCCATATAGTTGAGATTATACAAAAATAATCAATAGTTCGTATATATTATACTCCATATACTTAATAAATAATAATAATAATAGTTAATATAAATATATTAATACATAATTAGATACTTAAATACGTATATATGTTACTCCATATACATATTACGGAGTATATGCTCCTGAATTACTAATCGGCTAATCTCATTAGCCCTATTTTGGAGAGTTGGAGGTGGACGCCTAGACGGATACTCTGAGAAGCCGAGATTCCGATTTCTGAGGGACAACGGAGTAGCCGCGCAGTGAATTAATGATTGTAATATACTTAATTGCTCATGTTTTTGTTGTTATTTTACAATGAATTCTTAATTTTTGGTTTTAATAGTCATGATTTCTCTTTGTAATTTATTTATTGTCTCAAGTTTGACCATTTATATTTCACCTGCAACTCACCCGACCCACCCGATAACCCGTTCAAGATGGATGATTTGGATGTGGATGTCATTTTTAATGGATGATGAACGGGTGAGTGGAGTATAAAAAATTAACGGGTGGACGCGGATGAGCCTCCACCCGGTGTAAATCCGACCCGCTGCCACCCCTACCTTGTGTTTTAATTAATCATGCACAAAACCCTTTTTATGAATAAATTTAACGATTTGGAAATCATTTTTCTTAATATTTTGATCGAATATACAAGTAAATACGTCAAAATCTCTAAATCAATAAATCATACAAAAATGTTAATCATTTTTCTTTTATTTGACAATTGAATTTGTTCACAGAAGAGATTTTACGCATAATTAAATAAAACGCAAGGGGGTTTGACACATTTTTTATATCACAGGGGGCTAATGCGCCGAATTTCTATATCAGATGGGGGATTGGTGCATTAAACCCATTAGGGTGAGTAGTGAGTATCGATTTTTGTTTAGAACTGAGGTTTGTACCTATTCTTATACCCACTTTTATACTCATCCATGCTTGTAAAAGTTTTTTTCGTTCACAGACAATTTTTGTATGTGCAAAATTTGCACAGACAAAATAACATATATTTTGTCTGTGAGCCAGATTTACAAATAAAAAAACATCCACAAACATGGTGGGTATAAGGTGAATATAAGAGTAAGTACATCAAGCATTATTGATTTTTGTATTCCCGTTTTCAATCTGATTTAGAAATGAATTGGAACAATGATTACTCCGTAACAAACAAAAAACATATGGAGTACTATTTTTCGGTTTGATTTGATTTGTTTTATTTCGGTTTTATGCGATTTGAATTTGTTATCTTTTAATAATATATGAAAATTTTATCCCATTTGTCCCATATAAAAGGTTCCCACTATCCTTTTTTGAACATTCATTTCTTGAAACAATTAATAATCTTAAATGAAAAATAAATAATTACATATTAAAAACAATACATGTATATATTATTTCTCAAAACTTACTCAAACCATTTTATTTAATTATTATCAACATAATTTAATTATTATCAAAATAATCGTGTCTTTTTATCAAACTTGTTTAGTTCAATTGAATTTGATTTGATTTGATTTATTATAGTTTGATTCAATTTACGTTCAATTTATAAATTTAAGTTACTATAACTTTGCATTATAGTAACTAATAGTCATATTTATGTAAATAAGTTTCATTTTAATAATATTTTTTGTAAAAACCCTCCATTAAACCAATTACACCTGCATATTGCCCCTATTCCCTCCCTAAAATGTAATCGCCTGTGTAGATTACTATTGTCAGGAAGAAAGAACATATTGCTATGGAAGAAAGGGCAGTTGAAGCGATAAAGCACGCCCTGAAGGAACTCCGGAAGCGGCATTTACTCGAAGAAGGGGCTCATCTTCCTGCCTTCACCGCCCTTTCTCGCCCTCTTGTTCAGCAGGTTCCATCCCTTTCTCTTATATTCTATTATCGAATAAGTTTATGTGCATCAAATCCGCGTGTGCAAAATCTGCTACTTGTAAACTAGTTTGACCAATTGAGGCCGATTATATATATATATTTTAACTGCAGTTCCTTACACCCCGTAATGTTCAGAGGAATTGTAAATTTTGGCTAACTAGATATCCACGAGACTTGAACTTTAGCATTCGTATGGCTATTTCGCTGAGATGGAAGAGTAGATATTCAGGAAAGTGGTGTTGAGAAGGGTCAGGAAGACCAGTTCATATGTACATTATTCTCTGTGTATTAGTCTTCCAGAGAAACACTTATTAAGCTGTTGTGAGTCACTGCTCTCTATTTAGCCATTCCCATCTGTTGCTGATTCTAAGTTTGCATCAGTAGGGCTTATTGTTCTCTAATATTACTCTCATTCACGGAATTATCATCAAAATCTATTGGTTTATGATTTTTTTTATTCCTTTGAGAGAACAAGAACTATTTCAGAGCGGCGCTTAACTACCAATCTACTACACCTGATCTGTCTTATACTATGTATCTATTGGAGTTTTTTTAAAAAGCTAAAATGCAGGTTCATAATTTTCAAGAGATCATCTTTCTTGAGAAATAATATGAAACATTTGGTAGATGAATAGTAGAATAGGCTCTCATTAGAGTTCATTTTAGTTAACAATTTCATGGGATGTTTTTTCTTTTACAAAGGCTTATAACGAGCTCATATTATTTTCTATAAAATGAAGCACAGTACACACACATGAAGATTCAATCATTTTGGTAACATGAGGATCGAGAATAGGGCAAATAATGCTATGCTCACCCCCTCTCCCCTGAAGTTATTTTCTGTGGTTCTGTCCTACCAACAGATTTGTATTTTACATAAAGAAGTTTCTCTAATAAAGACACTTGTCAAAAAAAATTAATCCCCCCTTTTTTTATATTTTACCATTAAAAGTGATCCATTTTCCGCAGAAAATGATGTTAACCACCGTTCTCTATGAGGCAAGAGTCTTGCATTCAATAAACTGTAGTTTTACTTCCATACACATTGTATGTGGTATATGAAGTATATATTATTCAAAGTCAAGGACTGTGGTTATGAGTGGTTTTGTTGACCCTGTTTGTCGGATATGACTTGTCTAATTTTGCGACTTTTTTATTTAATTAAGGATCTTGTTTTAAATCACAACCTTTAATTTAAGATATTAAAGATCGCATGACCCAGTTTTCAATGGGATAAATGCAATGCTAACCATTGCTTTTTGACTGCTGCCTTTTTGTGTCTTTTTTAGCTGGCAATCTTTGCTTTAAGTTCATGCTATGGTTGAACGTACTACTACGGGTGTTTCATTAAGACCTAGTCCATCGGGATTAAAATAAAACAATTAGTACTACCTCCACCCCCCTAACATTGGAAAAAGGGAGTGGTGTAGCTATAGAAAAGTGAAATTGTCAATTGTGTGATTGGTACAATCTCTGTTCCGCTCAAAGGTTCCCATTGTAAAATGACACAATTATTAGATAACAATTAAATAAGGTTATTCGAGTATATTTTAAGAAATAGTTTTGATGTGTATATAATATAATTGGGTCATCGATGATAAGTGATATCTGTGATGTTAAAGATGTATTATTTTTAATATTTGATGATTAAATTGTTATTTAAGATTGTTAATTGTTTCCTAAAATAGAAATGAGAACCCTTATATGGGAAGTCCAAAAAAGGGAAGTGGGAACATTAGAATGGGACGGAGGGTTTATTAAATTATTGAAGTGTGCATAAAGTAAGAATGAATTGTAACCACTCAAACATTATCAAATATGGTATGGGACAAACTTAGTGGGACAAACGAAAAAGGTAAATGGGATAAAGGTAGGGGGACGGAGGTAGTAATAGTTTTGATATGCATTTTGGCGGAACTAGTTTGTTGCTTTGTTTATTTTATACTAACAATTGGAACGTAATGATTTTTTAGTTACTGTTTGGATATGTAAACTTACCGGAATGGTTTTTGTAAATTACTGTTTGGATATATAAACACGTTAGTTACGGAAAAAATAAAGAAATAAATTAAAATATATGTAAGACCCTACTATCTCACTTATACACTGAAATCTGTAGTAGTAATAGACTAATAGCATTTGCCTTTAATTTTTCCATGTTCTCTACTGCAGCTTCATTTTTCTAATTTCTACTGCTTTTAATTTTTCCCAGTTCTAGCTGTTTTTCATTTGGATAGTCTGATACACGCTACATTTAAAGTTATGCAAAGATAAAAGATCAAGAAAAAAGTTGAGGAGGGATAGCTGATTTATTTGCTTGATTGCTTTTAATACCTATACATTATTACCTCATCTATTTTAAGAAATAATATCCCAGGGTTTCTATGCATGTGATCCCTCTGATCAAAGGGAGCTATGCTTTTCTACTGAATATGGAAAAAAGAATTAAGAAGAAATCCATAAAGAAAATTCTCTAATTTAGGAAGGAGAAGGAAGCTCCCTAAAATTCCATCGTCTCCCATTTATCCTTTAATTCATTCTTGTGACACAAAGAACCCGGGAAATATCATATATCCCAAAATTTGATTGTATAAATGTGTTACCTTGTTGTTGTTGGTAAACCACACACATGGATTTGGATAAGGTTGGGGTATTAGGTTGAAAAGCGGGATTCAGAAAAGGAGGAGTACATCAAAATAATGATGCTATCACCTTTAACAGTAACCGTTGCTCGCTGGATTTGGATAAAAGAGATGCTTATGAGAGGCAGTGGATTATAATCCAGTGTAGTGAAACCTTGAAAAAAGATGGTAATGAAAAATAGCCACTATAGATGGATTAGATGCATACAAATTCAATTCTGGGGTGCATAAAAAGCACTAGACTTTCAATTTCATTTACTTCTTTTCCAATCACAGGATCTAAAATATATGAATAAATACCCCCTTAAATGTACTTGTTTGTTTATGATGTTAGAGACACTGTGTTCATCAAGTGTATGTGTTTTTTATGTGATGTACTACAGAAATTTTCTTCTATAGATTAGGATTGACTTATCTGTTACATACTTCTATAACAGGGCTCAGAATGGAAAGATAAAGCTGAACGTCTTGAAGTAGAGCTTCAACAATGTTATAAAGCTCAATCTCGTTTGTCAGAGCAGCTTGTTATTGAAGTGGCTGAGTCTAGAGCTTCAAAAGCTTTAGTTCAAGAAAAGGAAGCTGTAATTACTGACCTGCAAAATGAGCTTGGCCAAGCAAGGTTTCTTCTTTGATCTCCACTTTATTGTAAATTATTACTCTGAGTTCCATTTTTTGGACTTCAGTAACATTTTTTTTTTAATTTTCGGTTGACTGATTTGACATGTTAACCTAATTTACTTGACATTCACCCATCTTTGGAGGATGAAATAGGAAGTTAACTAAATATGATATGTTTCCTTAATATGCATGACAAAAGCAATGGGATGAAGCGAGTATTCTATTTCTTGTGGTAAAGCAAGCTCTGCTAAACACATAACCTATTTGGTAAGGGAAAATTGGACTTTGCAGCACACTTTTACTTTGAAAGTGGACTTTGTACCCCATTTTTTAAATCTTTGTAATTTGCACGCCAAAAGTCCAAATCCGGGGTGCAAATTCAAGTATATATCTAACTATGAAGTGTGAAGTCTAAGAAAAATAAACCAGTTCTGGAAGTGAGGGTACAAATGGCAAGGATTTAAATTATGAGATGGAAAGTCCAATTTTGAAGTAAACGTGGGGTGCAATGTCCATTTTTTAAAATGTATAAAGCAAAGCAGAAAAAAAGTTAACCCAACAGTGACAACACTAACCCTTTTCAAGATATAATCCCAATTCCCAAGTCTTGATATGGTATCAAAGCCAAAAAATATCAAACGAGTGATCAATTCGAGTTTGTTTTGGGTCGAGTGGTCGATCCGATTATGAATCAAGAATGAGCATATGGACTTAGAAAATGGTTTGGTCCAATGAGCCAAGCCACCATCGTGCTAGGCATGTTAAGACATTCTATTCTTTTAAAATGTAACCCCAATTCTTAATTCTAAACACTCAGGGAAAAAGATGAATCAAATATTCAAATATCATTTTCCTTGTTCAGCAAGTGTACTATAATAATGACTTGAGCTATGTGGACACAAAAGGAAAATGGAATAGTTAGAATGAAACGGGAGTTTACCTAGTGCATCTTGATGCACAACAAACCTGGCAGTAATTGATGCAAGCAACGAGAAATACTAGATTAGCAAAAAATTCATATACTGCACTTTATTATTATTATTATTATTATTATTATTATTATTTTTATTATTATTATTATTATTATTTTTAAAAGTCAGACTTGGTGATAAATAATGTTCATTTACTGATGGTTTTTTGTTGCTATCATTTGAACTTCTTTATTAATTGCAGGGATGAATGTTCTAGGCTAAGTGCACTTCTTGAAGAAAAAACCGAAGCTCTTGAATTGATTACTAGTGAGCACAAAGACATTAAAGCAAAGCTTGAAGAAATGACTGAAAAAGCTGAGAACGCTGAGGCAGAAAATAAGATGTTGGTTGATCGCTGGATGCTACAAAAAATGCAGGACGCTGAACGCCTTAATGAGGTATTATTATTTGTACTCCTTTGTTTCTACCCTGAGGTTGACATTCGACAATTTTATCCGATCCATGCAGTCATTGTAAACATGCATCCTTTGCTTTAAAAAATCACTGCTGAAAAAAGTCACTGCAGAAATGCTTTTGTTGGATGTGGGCCATGTGGCATTACTTGCTTCTACAGATCATCATTGTTTGTGGTGTTTTAGATTTTTATGGTTGTTGACTTGTTTCAAATAAACATGATCTAATAACAAATATATGCTGATCTGAAGTCTAGACCTTACCTTTTCCTGTTCATAAATTATTAAGGTGGTATTTTAGATTTTTTTCAATTGGACTGGTTTCAGTCTCAAACCAAACTTAAACAGACCAGATTTTGACAGTTGCAGAATCCACATAAAAAACATCTACCCGACCAGAAAATTTCAATCCAATTAAAAATGAAACTAGGAATAAGATTCTGCCAGTAATAAAATAGTTAAAGGAGGACTGAACATGAATAGTATCCAGTAATTTTGTTTGCTTACCAAACGTAAAAAGGAATTAATGTGTTCTCTCTCTTTTCTTTTACCTTTTGTCTTCTTTATCTTTCTATGTTCTTATGTTATTTTTATCTTTTATCTTTCTTATGTTCTTTTTATCTTATTTTCCATCATTTGCAGTGGAGCCAATGCTTCAATACTTTTTGGCTTGAGAATATGATGGAATAAAGCAAAATGGCTCACTAAACTGTCTGCGCTTCTTTGTTATGAAGCAGCAGTCAGTCCATGCAATTTTGGACGCGTTTTCCACTTGGGTCATCCGGAAACAGTCTCTCTGTGCTTTAGTACAGGGGTAAGACTGTGTACATCCGACCCCCCTTACCCTACTGTAGGTGGGACCCTTTGCGGCACTGGGGTAATGATGATGATGATGATGATGTTCTTTTTATCTTATATTTATCTTTATCTGATCCATTTTATTTTACCTTATCTTTTTATTTTTTATTATCTTCTTTCCTTTTTGGCTCTAATATCATGGATCGGTTCATGTTAGCCGACCCCAAAATCTTTTGGGAATAAGGCTCGGATGTTGTTGTAATTGTGTAGTTTTTCTGGTTCCGATTTCATATATCCATTCATGTTAGCCAACCCTAATGTCTTTTGGGACTAAGGCTTGGATGTTGTTGTATTTATGTGGTTTTTAAGGAGTAAAATCGAATTTATAGACATATAGTCAATGAAAATACTGATTCTAAACAATCAAGACAGACAGATGGAGATAGTGTGTGGATGTCTTAGTACCTATAAGTGTAAGCATTGGTTAGAATGACCATAACCCATTTGATTTTGAATCTAACGGTTGAAAGTTTGTAACTGCGGACACGCACACATGTATAAATACTCCCTTTGTCCATTTTTTGTGTATGATCTTTATTTTTGGGCCAACCTAAAATTTGGCCAGATCTGATACCAAAATGTTCCAAATGTTAAGCTTTTAACAGGATTCAGCTTCCATGTTTGAATTTTGCAGTTAAGATATCAGGAGCCTCCTCTCTAAATCCAAATGCCGTAATCACATACCTTCAAAATCTTTAACAATACCACCAAGAGTAGCCTCAATATCTTTGAAACTGGCATCAATATTAAGTTTATAGAATCCTTGAAGTCGTCTCTTCCAGCGAAATATTTCAGACCTATTCTTACCCCTCTTCTTCAGTCTGGAAGATTAAGCAATGAATACAACTCATTCAATTGAGTAGGTCTCCCATGTTGTTTAGGATTCTTTCTAAAAACCATATGAACTAGATTCCAATCAAACAACCAGCTATGATAGAAGGAAGCATGTTTTCTTGCACTCTTTCAGATAGATATTATAAGTCTTCCCAAAGTGAACATGCTGCAGTTTTGTTGTTACATTAAATATTCCCTTTTTGCATTTCAAAGCTTTTAATTTGTGGTTTTAGGCCAATTCTCTATACGAAGAGATGCTGGATAAACTCAAGGCCAGTAATATAGAGCAACTTGCTCGTCAGCAAGTTGATGGGGTTGTCCGGCGAAGTGAAGAGGGTGCAGAGTACTACACAGAGTCAACTATTCCCACTTCCTGCAAGCAAAGGATCACTGCTCATGAAGGGGGCTGTGCTTCTATCATGTTCGAGTATAATGCAAGCCAATTGATTAGTGGAGGGCAGGACCAGACAATCAAAATGTGGGATACCAACACTGGGTCATTAAGCAAGACACTTCATGGTGGTTTGGGTTCTGTTCTTGATCTTTCTATAACTCATGATAACCGATCCATCATTGCGGCTAGTAGTTCGAACAACCTATATGTGTGGGATGTTGGTACTGGCAGGATAAGACACACTCTCACTGGCCACAAAGATAAAGTGTGTGCTGTAGATGTGGGAAAATGCTCAAGCCGGCATGTCGCAAGTGCAGCTTATGATCGTACAATTAAAATTTGGGATCTAATGAAAGGATACTGTGTGAACACAATTATTTTCTACAGCAACTGCAACAGCCTTTGTTTCAGCCTGGATGGACAGACCATTTGTTCTGGTCATGTAGATGGGAATCTCCGCCTGTGGGATTTCCAAACAGGAAAGCTTCTGAGTGAAGTTGCTGCACATTCTCAGGCTGTAACATCTGTGTCATTGTCCCGAAATGGGAACATGATATTGACAAGTGGGAGGGATAACTTGCACAATTTGTTTGACATTCGTACTCTTGAAATATGTGGCACATTCAAGGCAAGCGGTAACCGGATTGCATCTAATTGGAGCCGATCATGCCTCAGTGCAGATGACAGCTGTGTATCTGCTGGGTTTGCTGATGGTTCTGTTCATGTATGGTCAATATCGAATGGTAAAATTGTGAGCACACTGAAAGAACACACTGCACCGGTTCTATGTTGTTCATGGAGTGGCCTTGGTAAACCTTTGGCAACCTCTGATAAGAGCGGGGTTATAAGTATATGGTCATGATGACGGTGTAGCTACTTCTTATGACAGAGGACAGTCAGTATTGATCCGTTTGAAAGTCACAACTCAAGGAACATGACCGGCGGACAGTAATTCTCACAAATTTCATCCCCAAAGATAACTTCTCATTATCAATGGAAATATATATTTGATGCCGGATGTAAAAACTGTATATAACTTTTTCTTCACCTTTTTGTTATCCGTTTAGGCAAATATATGTATGGTGTCTTAAACTTCTGAAGTTCTTATCATCACTAGAGATTCAACAATGCATTGAGGTAACAAGGAAAATGTTCATACAATCTCTATACAAGTTGGTCTCTGTCCTTGCCCTTGGTCTTCTTTAGTTGACACAACTTGTCATCGTAACTATTAGAACACCTTGTTCTTGGTAGGGTGGCTTCTGTGCTCAACACCTTTCCGAGGGAATGTGAGAGATTGAAGAAGATAATGTTGGATATGGAGAGCAAAAGTGTAAAACCGAGCTCTTTTAATACTTCGCTCAAATTATAAGGAAATTTCATGCCAAATTTATATGCGTATGATCATTTATGAACGATTTTAATGAGAGAATTTTTCCTGCTAGATATTTTGACCAATCCTACATTCCTACACACATTCTCAAAAATACGAAATACAAATTGTCTTGCAGTTAAATGGTAAATTTTAATGTCCTTAGTTAGAGGTTTATGTTTATATTTTGTTGTCTTAAGAATGAGTTAGTTGAGGAAAGAATATGGCTAAAGGAAAAAAAAGACAATGAGAATGCACTTAAAAAAAGGTTCTTATTGTTTATCTGGTATCTTTACTTACATTTTCATCTTAGTTTCTGATTTGATGTTGTGTAAATGAATCCTAAGTAGCATTGAACACGAATAAGTTGTATTTAGTGAAGTCTTAATAAATAGGCGTACTATCATTAGCCCTTAGTCCCTTACATTGGCAAATGAAAATGATAACGAACTATTATTGTGGTATATATACATCAACTCCTAGTCTCCTACACAAAACTTGAATCACTTAATGGAGTTTATTATTTGAGTTTTGCTAGGTGTACACAAAATGTGTACACATTTTGTGTACACTTGTCTGTCCTTCGCAGACAAGTTGTCTGTCACAGCCAACAACCAAGCATTTTTCTTATTATTTAGTCTAAACATGCACAAGTCCCTAGGGGCAAATCATAAAAGGCTGGACCGTTCAAACATTCTTTTTCTCTTGTCTACTTGGAGCACGTTTGGTGATTCTTTTTGACAAAAGGCTGGACCGTTCAATTATTTCATCAAACATGTAACTTTTCATTTTACGCGATAAATTGTGAAACAATAAATATAAGTAATGTTGACGTTACTTTTCTGGTTGTATTCACTGAAGTTACTGTAGAACATCATTTTAGTTAGTCATGGACCCGGGCCGGGCCGGTTCCGGTTCCGGGCCGGGCCCGGCCGGGCTTTTTTTTGGGAAGGAAGGCCCGGGACCGGCCCGGGTAGCCACCGGGTCCGGTCCGGGTCCGGGCCGGGCCGGGCCGGGCCTCCGGTTCGGTTATAATTTTTTTTTTTTTTTTTTTGCTTTCCTAACCCCCCCACTCACCCCCACACCCCCCCAACCCCCAAACCCCTCCTAACCATCAAGCCCAACTTGGCTAACCCCAAAAAAAGAAAAAAAAATTAAAAAAAAAATTAATTCGGCCCGGGCCCGGGCCCGACCCGGCCGGGCCGGTTCGCCAAATTCAAGGCCCGAGCCCGGACCCGGCCACCCCACCGGGCCTAGGCCCGACCCGGACCCGGACCCGAGAACCGGGCCGGTTCCGGGCTCGCACAGTGGCGGGCCGGGCCGGTCCCGGGCCGGGCGGCCCGAACCGGGTCCATGCCTAATTTTAGTTATTTTTTAATATAACTTTTTCAATATTTTATTAATAAAATACGGAGTACATTGTAAATATCTTTTCCCCCATAAATCAGCAGAATCAGCCAATCCAGCCACTTCACCCACAACTTCATAAATTTCAGCAGAATCAGCCGATACAGCCAATTTAGGTATTACACCAAACGGGCTCCTATTTTCTTCCCAACTTCTTGAAATTGTGGACCTATTGAATAAAATTATGATATACTATGTACTACGTACTTGTTAACTTTGAAAAAAAATTGATAAACCACAAGAATACAAGACCGTATGAAAATTTGAAAATTGAATGTTTTCAAATATATATTTACATGAAAATTAGAGCTCGCAGCAGCATCCAAACATCCACAAATTCCTTTAGACAAGTCACAATAAGCTTGCCCATAGAGGCATTCCACGTTCTTGCAATCATCATTAGTTTTACATGTGGTCACTTTCACAATACTTGCATTACACATGGTCACGTCCAGGTTTTGTAAACTTTATGCATACTCCCTAATAAATTACATAAGTCATAATACGGAGCATCTCAAATTGAAATTATTTTAGAACTCCTTTGGTGACACATTTTTCAACTTATCAGGCTTTTCAGCCAGTTTTCACCAAACGCGTAACTTTTGATTTCGCGCGCTGGATTGTGTATTAAGCAGAAAAGGTAAGGTCGAAGTTACTTTTCTGACTTTATTGGCTGAAGTTACTGTAGATGATCATTTTAGTTATTTTTTCATATAATTTTTTATTTTACTTATTAATAACAAATATTTTAAATTTTCTTCTTCTTCATGAATCAGCAGAATCAGCCAATATAGCCACTTCAATCAGAACCTCATAAATTTCAGTAGAATCAACCAACTCAGTGTTACCAAACGGCCTCTTAGTGTTCTACATTCCGTTTCCTTTACTCTTCGTTTTTGTTTGTTTCCATTTCCACCAATTCATTATCTGTTTTTCGTTTTCCATATTCAATTTAAAATACAAACTGAAATGACTACGTACACATTATTCTTATATGTTTTCAATTCACAATTTATTGGGATTGCAAGTATGCGTTCATCTAATTTATTAGAATTTCCAAAATGTTACTTTAAAAAAAAGAATTTCCAAAATGTTTCGACTTATAGAGTTATTTTAACTTAGAGAGTTAGAGTGGATTGTGTTACCCAATCAAAAAGTCCGAGCATCCGGACGCACCTTTATTTTTGCCAGGCACACCCCAAATACATGCATTCCAAAGTTGAAAAACGTGTATTTTTGTTTATAAATCCGATTTTCATTTTTAAAATATATTTAATATTTTTTATAATTTTAAAATGATCAATAAAATCTCAAATGATGTAAACAGGTGTAAGTAAAACAATTTTTTTAAAATCTATTTAACAAAAAGAATCTAAAAAAAGTTTTTTTTGATGCAAAAAGTTTAATTCATTTCATCAATCACAATGTTTTTAATACAATAAGGAATATATAAAAAAAAATTGTGCAAGAAGCATAACTAGTAGATGCTCTAGCAAGAACACGAACACTACTATTAGCTTGTCGCTTAGCAAAAATGACACATAAGCCGTTATTAGACCCAACGAGATCCCTACAATCTTGTACTAAAGATCCATACTAGACCGATCACTATGTGTGCTGTAAATATCAGCCACCAACTGCTTGCAATTGAACTCAAAAATAACTCCTGTGTACTCAGTCTCCTGCATCCATTTAAGAGCATCCCTCAAGCTCCAAGCTTCTGCCTTAGCCGGACTCATTTCCGCTTGCATCCATGATGTTCGGCCCCCGCAAAATCTCCCTATATGATCTCTAACGCAGCAGCCAAATCCCACTTGTTTATCACTTGAAAAAATTGCAGCATCAATATTGCACTTACCAAAACCAATTTGTGGCCTGCTCCACTTGATAACATTTTGTTTACTTTCCTTTTTTTTTTTGGATGAAATGTAAATTATATTAACACCCAAGCAAAATCCAAACATATACAATGTGTCCAATAATCTAAAAGTCCCCCACCCCCTCCTATTTCGTGAGAAAAGGAGAGGGTTAGGAGACTTTTTTATCTAGACTAAGTCCATCTTGACCAATACGCAAAAGTATGCGACCAAATAAGTCAAACATCAAAACTATGATGGTGCTGCAATGGTGCACGCACAATGGTGCAAATAAGTCGCACATGCCTTGGCTACCAAAACTCCTTGACTCCACTTCAAAAATTGATCAAGTCATGTGGGTAGATACTAAAGAGTATTTTGTAAACCACATGCTTGATCTTAGAAACAACGTCATCTTCAGTCTTCGTTACTTCTTCAAATCTTGCTTTGTTTCTAGCTTGCCAAATGTAATATGCCGCGGCACAGAATGTAAGCCTCCCAGCCTTGGCCTTTATCGTTGCTCCTTTGCGTGTCTTGGTGATCCACTTGATTGCACTGAGGAGCGTAGTCATTTGATGCCCAAGTCCTATCCATGCTCGAACTCTGTCCCATACCCTACAAGTAAAAGGGCAACGGAAAAAGAGGTGTGGAATTGTCTCCAATCCACCCTTGCATAAGTCACACCTATTTACTATGTGTAAATAACTGAGGCTATCCTGGGTAGGAAGCCGGTTTCTCAAAGCCAACCAAACGTTGAACGAGAATTTAGGAGGGATACAGGATTTCCAAATGAAACTCATTGGAGTCCTAGGGATCCCTTTAACTCTAAGGAGTTCATAAATCTTGCCCGATATTAATTTCCCATTGATGCTCCTAGCATTAAGTCCCATGATGGTTTCATTTAAGTTATTAAAACAACCTCGAATTTTGTCTCGAATTTGGCCCAACCTCTTCATGAGTTGCGAGTCCCGGCCGTGTGGGATGAAGTTCCACACACTTTGTCCACGAAGATATATGCCATTGACCCACCGGACCCATAAAGTATCCTTCTTTTTGTGGACGTCCCATAGCGTACGAGAAAGGAGGCTATCATTCCAGGTTTTAGCATTGTGTATGCCGAGACCCCCTTCCTCTTTTGGGAGACAAATGTCATCCCAAGCTACTTTCGGAAACTTTCCACCCCACAAAAAGATCCTACAAATGGACACTATCCTATCCAAAACGATTTGGGGAACCAAAAAAATTTGGAGCCAAAACGATTGGACCCCTTGGATCACAGATCGTATTAGCTCGATTTTCCCAGCATAGGATAGTGAATTCGTATTCCATGCTTTCAAAAAATCATTGACCATATCAAGTAAAGGCGCATATTGAGCCACCGAGATCCTAAGAGGGGCAAGAGGAATTCCGAGGTACCTTACTGGGAATGTTCCTTGTCCATAGTCAACCAAATCCAAAATATTTTGCAGCTCATAGTCCCTCACCCCCCCCCAATGAAAATCTTAGATTTTTCATGGTTCACCCTAAGGCCAGATGCATCCCCAAACTCTTTGAGAGCATTGACCAATATTTCAATGGAATACTTATCATCTCTCGAGAAGAGCATAAGGTCATCCGCATAGGCCAAATGGGTGATGCCAAGAGAAGAGCATTGCGGGTGGAAATTGAAATTATTCCCTTTGGCCCTCAAGGTGAGCAGCCGGGAAAAATATTCGAGGCATAATACAAAGAGCAAAGGGGACATTGGATCCCCTTGCCGTATGCCCCTTTTGCCTTTAAAAAATCCATACAACGAGCCATTCAAGGAAACCGAGAAAGAGGCTGTTGACACACATTCCATAATCCATGCAATAAAACGAGGAGGGAAGCCCAAACCCCCA